AGCCTCTTTGGTTTTTCAGTTTTTGGTTCTGTCTTCCAGTCAGCTGTATTCTTTTTCTTCTATATATGTTGTTTCTCTTAATTTTTTAAATTGTAAGCCACCCAGAGTTGCTGTGGAGTCAGGCCTTGAAATTGAATGAATGAATGAATGAATGAATGAATAAATAAATAAATAAATGTAATATCTGTCAACTGTCACAACACAAACACCAACAGTCTAACACGTTTGTTAGAAATGGTACTTGGTAAACCGTATAATAACATTATACTGCTTAATACTGTTTAGTTATTATACTGTTTAAACAGAGTGTTTTAGTTTTCTAAAAAATGAATGAATAAAATAGGCAAACATTTCAGGGGACATTAAATTCCTTGGGGGCCATCTTTGCCTCTACCCCTAAAACACAGGTACGCATTTATCCCTAAAGAGTACTTCAAAAGGTTGTCACCAAATTTTTATAAAAGAAAAAAAATGGGACTCTTTTTAAAATTAAATTAAATTAAATTAACCATTTGTTTTGTTCTGTGCACTGTTGTTCTATGCCTTTTTTCTATCAGCCTTCAATTATTAAAAACAGTATCTATTTTATTTTTAGAACAATCTATGAATTATGGTTTGCTGTAGCTGCATAAATTTAATATATTTCCCTTCCATAAATAACATTCCTGTCATCTAATGTAGAAATGGCTTGGTAATGGGGAACACGCTTGTGTTAGGTTGGCTCCTCTGCCCCCTGAAATTGGAATCCACAAGCCCTTTCCCTAAATCCCTACAGTTACAACCTCCCATAAACCTGGTGGGTATAGGTGTATGTTTGTAGGCAATCACCACCATATTTCACTCAGGAACAAATTTTCTTTCCATGCTTTACTCTGAAGGGAGAAAGCAGATGATCCTTCTGGTTTTTTTCTCCCATTTCTTTCTCCTTCTTTTCTCTAATGTCAGAGCTACAAGATATGTTAGGCAATTTCCCTGGCAAAATGAAAGTACTAATATAATGAGAAGTTACAGGCAGCTATTATGTATATGTATATAACAGTTAGGAACCAGTTTAACATTAAAGGGTCATTGGGGAAAGAAAATTGAAAATTGGGTCCCTGCCAGCAGCACGGCACCTGCACACACACAAGTAGAATAAAACAGTAGTAAGGGCATACAAAGAACAGCTCAGAATAATCACTAATAGAAAGTTAAAAACAGAATCCTAATTGCATTTAGTTTTGCATTTTCCTCAAATGACTAATTCTTTATTCCAGGGTTGAGTTGGTTGGTCCTCACCTGGCAGAAGCCAGCCAGGAGTGATTCCTTCCTCCCATGATGGAAGAATAAAAGGCAAAACAGAGCTTTCCCCCTCCCTTATTAAAAGTTCATTTGAGAGAAGGAAAACCTTTCTGCTCCTGATCGGTTGCTTGGAAATGGTTTTTTCCAGGCTTTGGTGGACTCTCCTATTATCTAGATTGGTTGATTGATTAACTCTTCCATATCTGACCCTCTGAAACTATTCCCCTTCACTACACCTCCCTAAATGAAAAGCTGGGAGAAAAAAGCAATGATGCGACTTGCATTGTGTTAGATATAATCTATTTTACATCTGAGCTAAACTATCTCAAACCACTGTTAACAACAGCTTATTATGCAATAATAGTGAGGGGAAAAACGATCAATTCCTGTTGAATCTTCAGCTCAATTTGGTTTCCTTCAGTTCTGGTCTTCAAATGGGTCTCTGGATAACATGTCTGTTATGGTACATCTTTCACTGAATATATTCTATAGTTCAGTCATATTCTTGCAGTGATAAGCTGCAATGGATGAACTTCTTGGGTTGGGCTTCTTGCAGTCAATTCAGTGCTGCAGGGTCTGTATTCTTTTTGAAGCTTCTCTTTGAATCAAGGTGGCTCCAATTCTCTTTCCAATGGATCCATTGTTAAAGTGAATGACTTGGAGCAGTAAGGTGCATGCAGCACTAGGCAGGTGTGTATTTGTACACTGATGGCTGCCTTCAACCACTCAAAGTGCACTCTACCCACCTTCTACACACAGAATGAATACAGATTTAAAAGTGCTAGACTTTACTTCTATAGTCTACACTATTGGTTCTGTACCCCAAAGCAGTGGTTCAGTTCTTTAGTAGTCCAGAGAAATGAACTCTGATTTTAATTGGATGTGTCTGGTATGAAACAACTGAGCAAGACAGCACCTCTGAAGCTTATTTGATGGAAGAAAGGCAGAGAGGGCAAAGTGATGAAAATGACTAAATGATGGGGACAATTTTGCCCTCTTCTGCTGAGTGGGGAATACAAGTCTTCCCAGCAAAAAAACTTTATAATGGCTCAATTTCTCCTGCTATTGGTGACGAAAATAGAATAATTTTGAGCAGTTAGGAGGATTGTGACATATATATATATGATGAGCTATGCCTTTAGGTAGAGGGGAGAAGAATTTGTGTGTATGTACTGTATGTGAGTGCATGTGCATTTATGTGAGGAATGTAACAGAAGGAAAGTTGTGTAAATATGAAGAAGTTGTGTCTGTGTCCATGTGTGTGAGAAGATTATTCCTGGTGGCTATCTATGTGTATATTAATATATGTGCTTTCAAAGACCTGGTCTGGCATCCTTCGGCTCTATATAATTGCTTAAGGTATATTAGCAACTTCTTTAATCACATTTGGTGCCATGCAGACATATTCAGATTTTGGTTCTTGAATACAGAATGAAAAGAAAACATTTAAATGAAATAACCTTGAGCAGAGTTAAATGAAATACCTGAGCAGCAAGTCTTCGCATAGCTTCTTCTTGGCGTCTACGCATTTCTGGAGTTCCAGGACAACTCCCACTGGCAATGGAGGAGTGAGCAGAGGATTGTTGGGTGAGGGGAAGCTCTCGATTTGCATCAACATCTGCAATGCAGATGAATAGGAATAGATGAGAGTTAATCTGTCTCTTAAGGATACAGTTTTGAATGGCATGCCTGTGGCTAAATTCAGTGAAGGGTGGTAGGGGAGAAAATCCTAAAGTTATTCAACATATATACAGAAACATGAATTACCACAAGGAATCATGTGAATTGTGAAAGGAGAGTTTGCTCTGGATTCCTCTTCCATGGCTCATATTCCACAGAAAAAGGTCTAGTCTCTTAAAAGTAACATAGTACTTAATAACTGAATTTTTTTTTTAAATACTACTTTTATCTTAGACAGCAAGAGAAAAGCAAAACATATTAATGTATTAAAGAAGCTTTCTAAACTGCATTTCAAAATAAAATTCTATTTAAAGCAATACAAAGAAAGAACCAATTCTCCTGATACAAGCCAAAAGCAAGAGTCAAATGTAGAAACAGAGGAGGCGGAGGATGCAAATCAAAATGGTATTATATAAAATCAAGACAATGCTACAATGCTGACACAGCCTGCTATAACTGAAATAACACTTCTCCCCAAATCATTATTATCTGAAAGTTAATGTTGCCCATAATGTTCTGTAAACATTACCAAACTGTGATGGAATGGAATTATGAAGGCTCAGGGAGATAAGCGTGTTCTTAGTTCACCGGAGGAGCATGGGAAGTTCAAGAGGATGAGGCTGGCACCTCCCTGAGGAATTCACGGTGTTGTGGCTGGCTGGCTTGGGAGCTAGGTTTCAGTCGGGGGAGATTTCTGTCTAGAGATTGTAGCTAATAAACACAGTGGAACTGAATTTGCATCGTCTCTTGGAGTTCTTTGGGCTAGACCTGACACAAACCATTTTATAAAATTGTAGATTAAACAAACCAAATTGACTTACACTCTTGGCTATTTCATGTAACTTAAGAAGATTCTTAAGGCTTGAACTTTCCAAAGGAGAACTCCTTTGGAAAAGAGATTTCAAAAAAGGACAACTCTGCACTTGTGAGCAGCTACTATGAATTCCCTGTATCTATCCTCAGTGGATTAGGTTTGGCACCTACCTGTTTCAATTAAAAGGATGCCTTCTTTACAACCATACATAGCCATAAGCAGACTGCTGCATGCAAACTTATTTGAATCTGGGTTGAAATATTCACTAGGAAGAAGCACCTTTGAATTTGAAGTTCATATAGTATAGAACTGGAAAATGAATAGTTCTAGTACAGAGGAATTTTTCGCACACCATATTCAAGTATTATTGTCCCAATTTTTTTGTACAAGAACACAATTTTTTCATATAATATGCAATTTATATTTCTCTTCACTTACGTTTTGGGGATGCATGGGGGCTGTCTGAAGCAATCTGCCTCATGCGTGTGCCGTGGCAGCTCAGTGCAACCAGTCTAGAGATGATTGCTGTCTTGCCAAAGCCAATATTTCCAACTATCACCACACCTCTGTTCACATTGGCATCAGTACTCTGCAACTGTACATCAATCTCCTGGAACACCCAATCCCGGCCAACAAATATGGACTCTGTGGTGATGCTAGGTACCTCGAAAAGCAGTGGTTTCAAAGAGATGTCAGGAGGTCTGTAAGGTGCAAAACGAACTGCAAAGGAATAAAGAATTCAGCATTCCATAACAGGTTACTAGCTACAGATGTACATTAATATACTCTCAGACATTAATATATTTTTCAAATGCCTGTTCCTAATGATCATCCTAGAGATCCTATGTGGTCACTGAAAGCTGACACTGACTTGATGGCACACAATCAATCAATTCCTAATGTAGGTTTTATTAACTTGTACTGCTGTTCTATTTAGATGTAGAAAAACCAGGAAACGAAAAAAGGCTAAAAATAATATATTTTAAAAATATTGTTGTGGTCCCTCTAGTTTCTTATTTCATCTTTTTTTTCAATCAAAGATTAAAAATGGGGATGTGGAAATTGCTCTGACATAATTTTGTAAATTCAATATATTGGCTGTAGTGTTTCATCTTCCAATAATTAGAGAAAATCTCTATAATATTGGAAATTATTATGCTAACTACTAAATGATGATACTTAATTTATAACACAGGAATACTCCAATACTAAAAGCTTGCACATAAATGAATTTGTTCTTTCAGCAGCTTTTTACTTATTTTAGTGTTTAATATGCAATTGTTCTTATATGAGTTTCAGTTTATTGAATCATCCAATACATTTCTTAAAAACAGCAGGAATTAATTGTGGGCACAATTCCAATCTTCTTTTAATTGATAGAAAATGTAAGGCATGGTCCTTCTTTGCATTGGTAGAAGTGAACTTATCATTCATTTCATTATTTGACAATCCACAACATTGTTTACTAATACCAAATGAAAGATTCTCATTTATCATTTAACTAAATATAAATGGTCAATGTTCTAAATAATACCAGCTTGTAACTTGACTCATGTTTATAACTGAAGCTGGGAAGAATATTGTTTTATCCTCCCAGACTCACCATTAGTAATTGAAAATGCATTAAGAAGAAATGCACTGGCACACTGAAGACACTGAATGGTCAAGTGATGAAATTAAATAAGGTCTTGCAAGCCACTCTATGTGCAGTTAGAAGCCATGTACAGATCAACTCACTCATTCCTTTTCATTCCAGTATACTTTCCCACATTATGGACAGATTATATTTCCATTATACTCTTAAAGGGGAAAGGAAAAGAAAGAGCAGACATTCAGGGAATGGGCTGACAGTAAAGATAAATCCCATAAAAATATCTGTACAATGATTTTAAATACTTGATCTTTCAAAAAGCATCTCACCAAAGATGGATATAAGATAGGTCCCCTTATCACATATCTATTTGTAAATTATTTCCATCTATTTTCAATGGTTTTTCCTGAGACTATGGTGGGCAGTTATGCTGAGACCTTGATCGGCTCCTGGAATAGAAGCCTTAGATAGAATTGTACCTGAGCAGCCACTCCCTGTTTACCGATCCAGGGGGGCTGCTTCATTTACTGAATTGGGCAAGTCCTATAGAAGTGACCAAGTCTTCATATTTCAGGGTTATCTGGGATGAGTTTGAGGTACTGAGGAAATGGACAGGATTCTCTGTGAAATCAGTCCTGCCACTTGCAGTTGGGATCCCTGACTTTCTTGCTGGGGAAAGCCTCCAAGGAAGTATTGGGGGGACTTCCAGTAGAGGCATGGTGAGTTAATAACGCCTCCATGGAGAGCGGAGACAATGACCATAGCAAAGACCGAAGAACCAATGAGTGGTCAGGTTCTTCAGAACCTCTCTGGGTAAAGAGAGGGCAGGAGATCACCCACATAAGCTCCAGACAGCTGCTCCTCATGAGGAGGCCACAGGACAGCGGTATTCTACAGATTTGGCTGCCAGGAGACAGAGGGATCAATCATCAAGGTCACAACAGCAAAGCCTTTTAAAAGATACTAAGCTTGCTAACCTTGCTTCTAATCACTTTTGGAAATTGCCTAGTTAACCATCTTAAGGCTATTCGAGATCTTCAGAAGGACAAGTTTGAAAAGCCACTTGGTGAGTCTATCTTAATTTCTGAACAAAAGAAAAATTAACTATAAGTTTAAGAACTTAAAGTATTTGAAATAAATGGCAAAAAGCTAAATAAGATTTTGAACCAAGAAAGTTATAAAAGAATTAAGGGTCCAGACAAATTTGGAATATTAAAACTTTTACTATAAGATTTTGGAATTAATTACCGTATTTATCGGGGTATAACACGCACAGGTGTATAACACGCACCTTAATTTTAAGAGGGAAGTTTGAGTAAAAAAACTTAAATTTAAAATA